ACAATATTTAACAATATCTTTTGAATCACCTAGTATAAATCTGACACAAATTTATATCATACGAAAATTCTAAGGAGTATTCATTCATGAAATACTCGCTCTCACTCCTTTCTTTGGTCCATTGTATTTACCTTCCCTCTCCAATATATTATTTAAGCTATAATATGAAAACTTTTTGTTTTGTTTTCTATAGTCATAAGGATTCATTTAAATTGAGAGAATAGGCGCATATTCTATGCTTAGGTGTAATTCTCGACTTTTTAATGAATTCAAAATAGCACAAAAAATAGTTATTCATGTAATCTAATTATTTAACTGCATTTAGCTGAATATTTAATTGAATGTTACCTGAATGAATAAATTGGAATTGGAAAACAAACGCTTCAAATTCGATATGCATATTGTTTCGAAAGGATTTTGTCTTTCGGTCTGTATGTGAAAGCAACTTCTGTGCATGATCTGCATATGTTTCTGAAGAGGTTTCATCGTTGTCAATTTATTTGTTCGCAAGTTCCCCACATTTATTGTTCAATGATAGAGAAGTGAAAAACCAAATACCGTTCTTCCAAAAAAACCAATGACTCCTAAAATATATCCACTTCAATTCAAATCACTGAAACTATTATTAATTATCCTTCGGCAAATATTTCATTCCTTCCCAGGGATGGAAGATTCATCAACTCGAATTCATCCCAGTCACCCTTGGCCTAAAATCCTTTGCCCGAACAGCACAAACTTTCCAGAGCCTGTTCAAAATTACCCGTGCAACTACTTATCCGATCTTCTCAACTAACAACAGACTCTCTACAAGTACAATTCGGACCCCCAGAGTGCCTTAATATTAATCAATCAACAGGGGGATATCTTAAAGTAATTCGAGACTGTCCCCCGGGAACGTGAACCACCACTTTCCTGTAATTTCACTAATATACCCCAGCGGGAGGGATTGTTATTGATCGATTTGCATGCTGGGATATGAATGTAATTAGTTCCCGAATAAAGTTATTCATCGGTTCGGTGAAATTTAAAGTGCTTGTCAGGTAATGAATTTAAAAAGCCTTATTGTGTCTTAGTGGGGCTTTTTCCTGAATATTGACTTCTTCCAGAATAGAAAAAAGTTGAGAGAATTTTTATATTTTGATTGATTGATCCGTATCGAATGCTTTTACAGTATTTACGCCTATGAATTGGGATATGATTTCCATTTGATCAGTGGCGGCTTGTGGTATTTGAAAATGGTGAGGCACAGTTAAAATTTTTTTTTAGCAAAGTTAGAATTTAAAGTTAGTCTAGTGGTCACTCTACTTCGTCAGTTGTTCCTTTGTTTTCTCATGAGAGTAAGCTTGCAATTCGAAGAAATATGTTGGGTACTTTTATTGTGTAGTAAAAGACTACGAGACAAGTTTTTTAAATCGCTATATTTGATACAATCATTTTAGGATCTTTCGCAAGTTTCTTATGATTTTACTGTACGATTTTATCCTACAATTTGTATACGTGAACTTATGTTTTTGAATAATTTTATAATTGACATATGTTTAGATTTTTTTCAAAATTTTCGTCCGTTTTAATTTCATGTGTTTTTTTTAGATCCATATCTCAATTAATATTCATTCCACAGTATCCTGTTATACAGGGTGTTTCAAATTAGATCCTCACCATTGGAATCTCGGAAACTATGAGAGATACGAAGATGGTTAAATTGGGGCAAAGTTGCGTATTTACCTGACTAACAATATGCCGTTGAGAAAGTTCTAGAATTCCGAGTATATTTTTATTTTTTTCTGGCTTTATCTTTCAAAGGATTCGAAAATCAATTGCACTTCCACATTGACACTTTTCCCTGCTACATAATGGTGTTTTCAGATTTGCTATCCGACGTTTCGTCTTTCGGCCACCATCATCAATTACATTTTTTCTCATTGGCGCTACATTGGATTCTTTCTGTTTTGAATAGAACCAGATTTTACCTTTTCAATGATGTATCACAAGTTATCATTCTTTTTCGAAAAATTGGAGATATTGAAAAAATAATAATTCCTATTATAATAGGCTTTGACTTTGGTGTTTCTGAATTTGACTTTCAATTCATTACACTCATGACATTTTATTATAGTACAAGTCATTGAATTTCTGGTGACAAATGGCTTTCACGAATGAAGAAAAGAGATATGATACAAATTTATTACAAATGCGATAGAAACAGTGTTAGGACATCGGAAATGTATTTAAACTTGTATCCCGAAAGATGACAACCACATCGAACTATGTTCAAGTTATTGGATCAAAATCTCACAGCGTTTGGTTCATTTGATAGCACTGAAATATTATAGTTTAAAGTAGACGCATAAAAACAGACAGAACTTTTGAAATAGCCTAGACAAAATAATTTATGAATAATTGACCTTATTAAGTGATGCGACCCCATGGTTGCCAACTGCGGTAAAATAATGACATTTGACATTTGCTAATGAGCAAATAACCTATATTTCTGAGTTCCTTCTGCATTTTCATTTTTAGGACATAATTGGGACAAACTATCTCATATTTCTTCAAAGCTGATACTTCATTCTGGAGCCCCAACTTCATTTACGACGACTGGAAATCTCTTTTCGGTCATATTCTGGAAATCAGGTTCTCATTTATCAAAAATGAAAATGCAGAAGGAACTCAGAAAACTAGGTTATTTATTAATTAGCAAATGTTAAATTGTCAAATATTATAATTTTACCGCAGTTAGCAACCATGGGGTCGCATCACTTAATAAGGGCAATTAACGTAATTCGTAAATTAATATGAATCGCATCTTGTTATGGCAACTACTTTGTTAAACTATCTAAAAAAAATTGTAGTACACGTTGTATATTCAATTCACCACTTTCATCAGTTATTTTTTGACATCATTCCACCAGAACTTCAATAATCAGAACGACCATCCTAACAGAGTGGTCAAGGTAGAGTCTGCGGGGAGTTTTTCTTTCTCTTTTCGGACCATATTCGCCTCACAGGAAACAGAAAACTTCACGGAGAATATCGTCTTGCTTTGTAGTTCGAAAAGAAATGCTGGCTTATTAACTTGTATGAGCTAGGTGGAGCTTGTATGTGGAGAATGCATAATTATGAATATCATTATTATTAATTCCAATATCCGTGATCCAAAGATCCGAATCATGCAAAACATTTCCTCATCTATGCTACGAAATAGCTCTAACGAGTTTAATACATGAGCCGGTCATTGTCAAGTGTTCATTTTGAGAAGATGAAACGGTACTGTGTTTCCTTCAGTTACAGAATGCGAACTATAATAAACCGTAAGGTAACTACAAACTTGTAAATAACTCATTTTGCCACGCAGGACGTTATTTATAGAAAAATGTTCGAATACACGCACTAAAAATAAAACAAAACAAAAATTAACGTTATTTGTGTCGTTGTTTTGGAGAACTGCGTATTGCCGGATGTTGATTCAGCAAAGTCAGCATTGACATCGATCTTGTTCATCCACGTCACATTGGGTATGAATAGAGAAGGTCAACAAACAGCATATAACATTAATATTTTTTTCCTGATAAATACATCCAATGAACAATGAAAGTATGAAACCAATCAAGGCATCCCAACATTTTGACTCCCAGTATACT